CACATCATGGTAAAATCAATACATTCATTGCTCCGCTCAGAATCTAATATACATTTTGAATATCTTAAAGATTTCTGTAATTATTTATTTATTTAATTGTTGATAAATATATCAATCATCATTATTATTTTAAGAAAGACCAAGAAAAGATTTAAATGTTATTTTTCTATTGAAAATGTTCAAAATATGCAAATTATATGCTTTAATAAAATAATATTTTGTAACTCCACAAATATGCATCATTATGCAAAATCAAACTTTATCTATGAAATCAGTTTGATATTAAACTATCACATTTTTAACCCTGATGACTTGATAGTTGTGGATACACTCACATAAATCAGGATAATGCATACAAATCTGGTATTTAGTTATGAGGAATTGAAACAAGATGCGTGGCATTATTAGGCTAGGCCCACCAATACGGTGGCAATACGTAAAAATTGCTCACTTTATTATACATTAATTTACATACTTATTTTTAAAGTATATTTTTTGTATTTTTCATGTGTGTGCACTGAAAACATAAGTGAAACTAAAATTTGTCTTAAGTTTTTAAAAATATTATAAAATAAATCTTGAATGTGACATATTATATGTCTGTAACTGCAGAAATTACTTATCACAACCGGCTATTATTCCATTAAAATTTTTTTAATAGTTAATTTCAACCAAATATTTTATCGTAATTCTTATAGTTATATTGCTGTTGTCACAAAAAATAACACATTCATAAGGAAATCAATCATAAAATAAATACAATTTTTAGGGTAATAATTTATTGTGGAAGATGGATTTATTTTGGTGTTAAGATCTGGATCTCATTACAACTATTATTAATATATATTTATATTTAATATAAATGTTTTCACATAAAATTTTTTTTTTAGGGTTCTATTCTTGGCGCAATACTCAAAAAGGCTCTTGGTTTATGCAAGCTCTTAGTGATGCCTTCAATAGATATGGTTATCAACTAGATCTTTTAACTATACTGACATTTGTTAACCGTCAAGTGGCCATTGACTATGAATCTAATGTTCCTGGTACTGTTCAAATGCATCAGCAGAAACAAATACCATGCATTACATCAATGTTAACAAGATTAGTAAAATTTGAAAAGAAAAATTAAAAATGTACATTCATTAAAACATAAGGCTAAGGTTGCAAATTTTAATTTTTTTAATAATAATTTTATTATATACTTGTTCAGAACAATTTTGTAGTTAGAATTTTAATAAGTTTTAACTAATGGCTAATATTAGTTTTAAATTACAGTTTTAGATTATCAAAATCTAAGAGAATTGTGTGGCAGTACAATTTTCAATTAAGTATTATTTAAAAATGTGTTCAAAATTAAAAAAATTTAAATTTGTGTCTTAGAATACAAAAGATACTGTGATTTAAACTATCATTAATTTAATTTTTATAGCAGATTACTTAAACTACTTTTTGATAGTACTGATTTTTAAAAAATAGATATGATATTATTGCATTATATAGAACAAACCTGATAAACAAGTGATATACTTTTTTTACTTATAGGTTAATCTAACCTAAAATAAAATAGATTTTATAATTTTAACATTGAATTATTATGATGATATAATATATTTTATTTCATTCCCTTATCATTTATTTTAATCTACCTCTTTACTATTATTTGTATCATTTTATGATAAAATTATGACTATTTATATGTTTTATTCTAAATATACTAATTATCTCTAATTACATTAGTGACATATACTTAATCTTAGTTATTAGTTTATATTTTTCTAAAACATTAATTTTTATTATAAAATATAAAAATATGTTTAATTAATTTTTAAATTATTATTTTCATACATTAAATTCAACTGCTGTCATTCAGTCATATCAAAATGACTCTACTAAATTGTAAACTATAAAGTGATAAACCAATCTTTTAAATTAAGTTTTAATTTCATGTTCTACAACATGATTGMTGAATTTAATCTCATTAATTTCTTGTTTTAACTGTATTAGTATGGATAATTAATTCAAATATTAAATAACAAAATTATAATACATTTATTTATATTTTTGTATTAAACATTAATTCAATAATATTTAACATTTGAAAATTAATTACTTTTTTAGATATTCAAGTATTATAAATTGTATTTTTTCATAATAAGACATTGTTACACCAATTTTATATTTTATACATTATTGATTTTAGTCTTAAACAATATTCTGTTTCAATAAAAGTACTTATTTGATTATTTTTGTATATTTATATATTTATTAATATTTTAGATTCTGAGAAAAGCACTAAATTGATTGAAAAAAWTTGAGTATTTTTCAAAATTGTCAAGATAAACAAATTAATAATGTGAAAATAACTGAAATTTTTCTGCAAAGTTGTTTACAAAATTGCTATTGTTGTTTGTAGTTGGTAAAAAAAAAAATTAAAACTATAGATATTTCAAATATTCAACTATTGTAAATAAGACTATTTTCCATACTAGATACAATTTTCAAAATAAATTGATTCTTGAAATTTTGAAATATTTACAATATACAGGCATTTAAAATTTTCAATTTTTTTCTGTTAATGTATACATGTTTATAAAAATATTGAGATCAAAATTAAAGATACAAATATTATGAATATTATATTTTAAATTTACTTTTCTATCTTCAGTTATGCAACTCGAATTTCTTGACTTCCTTGTCCACTGACTGATTCATAATCTGGCACAGCCTAAACAACTATAGCTAGCGATTAGAAATTTTTCAAGTATATTGTATTATAGCCTAGGAATGCAATAAGAAAGGATTTTGAATTATTTTGATTATATTGATGCAACCAGGATTTTATCAGTGGGAGAGTCCAAAAATATAATTATTTTAACATGGGAACTCAATTTATATTAAATTTATTATTGTTGCATTATGAATGTATGACAAAGGTACCATGGGTGGATAGGCCTATAGGCAACCGGGAATTTCCCGGTGGGCCCTCCTTCGTATTTCGGTAATGGGGCCCATTAATATCATATATTATTAAATTCTTTTTCATGTAGGGCCCCTTTTTAAAATTTTCCGGCAGGCCAAAAATGGCCTATCCACCCATGAAAGGTACATACACATTACACACCGCTTTTTTACATTGTAAGATAGTTACAAAACTAAATCTAGCCAACATTTTAAATTATTTAATTTATCGATAACTTCTTTAGGTGCCACACTGACATACTAACATCGCTGTGAACACTGAGAGTAGCAATTTCAATAATATAAGATTAATAATGATTCTTATCGTAAGTACTAATAATAATATAATTCCGTTTTCCATTTTTGTGCTATAAATAATTAAATTACATTGAAAGTAGATATTATATAATTGATATATTTAGGTACTTAAATGTATGTACTATGTGTCTATGTAGTCATATTATGTAGGACGGTCGAGGCACGTTTGGACCAGGGACGTTAGGACACTAATAAAAATGCAACTCGTTTGGACCAAGATTTTGTGAACCCGTTTGGACCAATTTTTATTCGTATATTTTACTTGTAAATAATTTCTAAAAAGCCCGCTTAGATGTTCCGTTAAACTGTGTAAACTAATTTGTAGATTGTGTAGAGAAAAAAATTATTTATAATTGATGGCTGACCAACAATTAATATAATGCAAATGATATCTGTTACGACACGGCCCTATCGGCCAGTGCGATAATACTAATTGACAATAATTGCGGTTACCTATATATTACTATCACAAACACTATATTCTACGTATGCGCAGTGGTGACATCGAAGCACAGTTCCTATACCTTTACCGTACTAGGTTAGTATTAGTATTTTGGTTAGTACATATAGACATAGTGCACTATAAAATGGGAAGGAAAATGCTGGTCCTAACGAGTTGTATAAAACTAATATTTTTTAGTCCAAACGGGTCTTCAAAATTGGTCCAAACGAGTTGTGTGTTAGGAAAATTGGTCCAAACGGGTCCTGCCCATGTAGGACGTAGGTACCAGTGGCCAGTGCTCGAATTCGCAATATTAAAGTAGAAGGACTCTAAAAAGAGCGTCTCCATCAATTGTTAAAAGTTACTAAGCCGTCTTTAAATCATAGAAAAAATATTGATAAATTAATAATCAAATTAAAAAAAAAAAAGCGGATAAGTCGTGGATGTCGCTCTGCTGTACAGTAGGTTACAAGTGTGTTACCTACTGTAAAGGATGGAATTAAATTTGAATCCAATGATATTATATCATTGTAGGTATACGAAAAACGATTCTGAGCAGAGACGGTTTATCTGTCTAGGATATATTATAGATTATTAAAAATTTTCAAACCTTGGATTTAAAAAGAAAAAATTTTATGAATTTTCTAGCATAAAATAATTTACGAATTTTCGTGATTATTACGTATGTTGTCAAAATTCAAACTTCGAATGCTTATAAAAAAAAATTGTGACTATATATTTCTTTTATTTTTCAACTGCTATTGTAAAAATATGTTAGCAGCCTTGTACCTATTTAATTTTCAAATCTTGATCTAAAAAGAAAAACTTTTATGAATTTCTATCTAAGATAATTTGAACATTGCCGTAATTTTTACGTATTAAGTCAATATTTGAACTTCAAATACTAATAAAAAAAAATTGCGCCCTATGTATTCTTATAATTTTTGAATCACTAAGAATAACTTATGAGGAACTTTGTATTAAATTTTCAAGTATTTTGATTGGGCTAAAAAAATTAATCGGCACTCCAAAAAAAAATTTTCAGAAAAATTGAAAATTTCAGTTGTCTATAAATATCTCAAAAAAAGTCAAAATATTTCGATGAATTAAATCATGTAAAGAAAATGCCAATCTAAGTAATTGGTAAAATTTTTTAGTATCTACGACTTATACTTTTTGAATAATATCAAATATTTTTTATTTTTTATTTTATATATTAAAATGTTTCAGCATATTATATACTATTACAAGTTTACAATTGTTTAATTTTACATAATATAATGTTGTGTTGGTTGATTATATAATAGGTATATATATTTTTAAGTAATACAATGTGAAAAGGAATAGAGATAAAATATTATGTTAATTAATTAATTTTAATGTGGATAAGGTTATGGAATAGTGCTATTAGCTGTAAGTGCATTTATGACTGATGAAAGAAGGGAGATAAGGGGACTAATTAGTGAGTTTAAATTTGATATAAAACTTGAGAGAATTTCGGTGATTTTGAGTTCCGTGTGTGAATTTTGATAATTTTTAGTATAGCTTCAGCGTAAGATTTGGTATTTTGGTAGGGGTTAGAATCAGAGCCATTGGCAGGGTGGACGGTGTTTTTGTAAGCAGCTTTGTAAACTGGGCATCCTTTAAAGTTAGCAGTATGTTCCTTAGTGCAAAGTGCACATTTGGCAGGGCTATATCGGTCTTTGGAACACGCTCGTTCGCATGATGGTTTTCGCCACATTTTACGCATTTAGTTTGGTGGCAGCAGTTATATCGCGTGTGTCCATAGGATTGACAGTTGTGGCATTGTGGTGGGCCACATCTTTTTTTGTGTGGTCTCTCAATCAATACCTTAGTATTGAGTAGAAACTTGATGTCAAAGATGTCTTTGTTATTGTCTTTTGTTAAATTATCCACAAAAAATAAAGGTAGAGGACATTTAGTTTTATTTTTGACGTTGTGTATGTGTTCGGCTAAGTGTCCCAGCTCAGCCAAGGCACTGACAATGTCATTACTTAAGGTGGAAAAAATGCAGGTTTCTGATTACGACCCTGTATGTCCGAAGGTTACGGGGGGTGTATGAATGGAAACTAGCGTTAGTTTCATGTAAGTGGTTTATGATTTTATTGAAGTTTTGGCGACCTTTATAGGTTGCACGATCAGGTATGATGGTGTTGATCTACAGGTAAAGCCATTTGAGTTGGTGATATTAATTAGTACCTTATTTAAGGCAGAGTAGTCGGTGATATTCTTGATGTGGATAGGTGGAGCTGGAGGTCCCATGTCTTGTTCAGTGTGAGGCAGGTTCACTGCAGTAACATCCCTGAGGTTGGTTGAGGGCATAGTGGGCACTATGTCATTGGTGTCATCAGCGGAGAGTAGGTCGATGCGATTTGGTGAAACGTAGATTTTGGTTTTTTTGTCGTTTGACTTGGCGAAATTGACGAAGTTAACAAATTTCGTTTTGTGGGTTTTGGTGTACGTGGTGAAGCGGAACCGGCTTTATGTACGTTGCTCATCATAAATTGTTATTATAACGTTATATAATTGGGACTGATAGTTAATAATGACCGTAATAAATAACTAATAATTTTCTTTATAGCTACTTGAAGGAAAACTTAGTGTTGTATTTTTAATCCTTAGTTATAAACACAACAAATTTTATTTTTTGACAGATTTCGTAAAAATCTGAATTATAAACGCTTATAAAAAAAAATTGTGACTTACGATTTTTAATTTTTGTTTTGGCTACAATAAGAAAAACTTATAAAGAACCTTGTATTAAATTTTCAAGTTTTTTTGGTRATCCAAGATTTTTTTACCGACCCTTTAAAAAAAATTATCATAAAAATCGAAAATTTCAGTGGTCT